TTTTAAAAAAATATATCTTATTAATATTAAAATATATAATAGGTTTTTAAATCTTATTAAATATGAAATTTTGGTTTTTAAATGTAAATTATGATTCTAATTATTTTTAAAAATTAAGATTAATACACATTAACCTCTACATATGATTTGGATTCGTCAAATCATATTGTTTTCAAATCCTGGAACTACATGTGACACATCCATTAATTAGCTTTTCCCCTAATTTTTAGGACTTGCGCAGCGCTGCATGATATTCCTGACCGAACCCTCCCAAAGATTGTGATTCTAATTACTAACATGTCTAATAAATAATCATAGTAACTAATTTAGAAGCAATTAATTTAAAGTTTAAATCTTGATATTAATTTTTAAATAATTTTTTTAATATCTTATAACTCAAATTGGGAGTAAACTAACCCAACCCTGATTATCGTTGAAATTTGGAAATGACATGGTTAAACTTTTTTTCCCCACTAATAAATTAATACATAATTAAATAAGCACTCGACATACGGAACCAATTCATTCAGTTAATTTATACCCTTAACGTATACTAAATCAACCATTTCGTCCTTAGTAAGATCTATTGCCTTCTCACAACACCTTCAGAAGATTGTGATTATGGACACGATGCAAAGAATCAGAATCCCTCCCCAACCCATTTCAGAGCCAAGGGATGACGATTATATGCATGAAAATGATGCAAAGGAGAAGCATATACTCGCAAAATATCCTCCGGTGGCTGTGGTTTAATGTTGTACAAAGATGGCCGTTACAGAGCCATTGCAAGTATATTAGAATTTTGATAGTATTACTCATTTGAAGTATATGCCCCCTTTACTGAATCATCCACCTTTGTGGAAGGCATTAATTGGGTTTCAATCCGTTTTAAAGAAAGACAAGAAGGGATTTTTCCACTAACTTCTGGATACTCTCCTTTTAATATTGTTTTTATATTTGCCATCAAAATTTAAAATGTTGCTTAACTTTTCTTTTTATGTAGAATATAATCCGAGAATCGTATGCTCCAAATCATAATCTCATGGTTTGAAGTTTGAGCATGTACTTTTGAAATATTGATATGTATTTTCAGGGAACTAACATATTATGTATTATTAAAGAGAGGCATCTTATTCCGAAATGATCATGCAGAGTAATTATCCACGAAGCTGACATTGCATGCTTGAATGAATGCTTGTCAAGAGTGGATTGGTTCGAGTGCTTTGTTCAATATTCATCGCTCTTTTCTCAAATGAATCTTTTGCAAGATGATGCTAATTGTCTTTAGGGAGGTGGATGGTCAGTGAGGCTCAAATGCTCAATACCACTAAGGTCTTGACATTAATGTTTCAAGGAGGAGAAAAGACAAAATATTGAAGGATAAACAAAAAAAAAAAAAAAAAAAAAAAAAAAAAAGGAGACTGAAAATGATTGTTGATAGATATATTTGTTGTCATTGTAGGTCAGGTGAACACATGAACATGAGTATGGATTAGAGCAACCTTAAACTTTAATTATCTCCTGAAAAGAAAAAAAAAATCCAAGAAAGCGACTCATTTTAGTCTCAGGCAAGTAGTGATGAATTTGCTTGACACAAAGCATTATAAGGAAGATGAATAAAGGACATGCATTTTTTTCTTTTGTCTACCAATTTAAAATAAAGGACATGCATTTACTATATATTTATATATGCACAGCCCTCATAAAAAAAAAAAAAATGGATCCGGGTGCATACCATTTTTTTTTGTTTTATGGGGGGGTGCACACCCAAATATTAGATTCGGATATGCACCAATCATGATCCTAAAGAAAATGATGTGTACACACCCAGGTGTTGGATTCGGATGTGCACACATCATTTTCTTTATATATATGATTAGACTCTATGCTTATAAACCTAACACGTAAAATTAATAACTCGTATATGTCCAAACTCCAAGTCATTTTGCGCTCTAAAGTTTACTTGTAGATTAGGTGCGTAGGATTATTTCTTACCTCCCATAATAATAGTATGATACAAGTCTCTTTTGAGCTCACAATAATTTCCTAAAAAAGCTCCTACTATTAAAAACCCATTGATAAATTTTGGAATTTCTTCTCCAAATACAAATTAATTAGAATCTACTTTGGATCTCATGGTCCAATAACTATATGTTTAATTGTAAAGTGCATCACAACCCAAAGTTAAAGTTTAAATTATCTTCCCCAAAAAGTTGTAACCTTTAAAAAAAAAAAATTTAAGTCTACTCCATTAGAGAAAAAGCTTCCCTTTTAAAAAGGCACAATAGTATTAAATTTCAAAAACCTTAAGATTTATAATCTTACTCTCAAAAAGTTCTCAACAAATAACCCAACATCTTTAAATATTTGGTTAAAATTTTATTAATTTTTTTTAACAATATAAAAGGTATAAAGACAGAACACACCATAACTTTAAAATCAGTTAATTTTGTAGAATTTTATTAATTTGTATACTAAATAAAATATATATATATATATATATATTTGTTACATCACGGACTAATTTATTCTTATTAAAGGACTATTACTCGTACATCTCTTTGTTACTTCATACTTGTGGGCTCTCTTCATATCATCTTTTAAACAAGCTGGTGCACAAAAACTTTGAATTCAACCCTACCCTTAGTATACCCCTACCCAATACAAGATAAATAATATTGTCTGATTGTTATCGAAAAATTAAATAAATGAATAGTAATATAATTTACCCTGTTGAGAGGCATATGATTAATATGATAATTGGATATATATATGGGGGGCCACTGCAACATAGAAAATGAGATGATAATGCAATTAAGGTAGAGAGGAAAGGTAAGGACACATGAGGTGAGGTGGATTTGGGTTGGGAAGCTGCAAGGGCGCACCCAAATGTGGTATCTGAATCAGACCATTTTCATGGCTTGTAATTGGCTCGGTTGACCCTAAGCCTTGGATTTCGTAGGCACCTTTTTCTTTCCCCTTTAACCGAATTCTCTAACATGGTTTTACTCTTTTTCTTTTTCCTTTTTTTTTTTTTAATTTTAAATTTTAACCATGACAAATAAATATTACTACTATTTCTATTTTAAAATAATTATAATTTTTTAATTTTTTTTAAATTTTGAATTTGGAAACAAGATTTGTATTTATCTTAATAAAAAATTAAAAAAAAAAACTTTTTATGATTGGATGATTAATTAAAATTAATAAATAATGATAAAATTAAAATTAAAAAATATGTATTTACTTAAAAAACAATTAATTTAAGATAAATTCAAAATAAAAAAGTGAATATTATTTTGAAATGGAGGAAGTATATACTAGTATATAGAGGGAGTTTGATCAAGATTATAGTTAGGGTTGAAAAACTTTTTTCTTAAATATAATATAAATTATAATATATAATCTACCTGATAACTCAACATAAAAACTAAAATCACCAAGAGTAGAATTAGGATATTAACTATGATATAGATTATTAGTTGTGCTATAGAAATGTTAGTATATAACTAGGCTGTTACACGTGTTTATATTTTGCTATAGTAATTGAAAACAAATATGTAGAGTAAAACTATAAAAATACAAAAATATAAGTTTAAAAGCAAACAATCAATTTATTAATTAATTAGTAAATCATTTTTTATTCTTAAATAAATTTTAAACTCGATCATGCATTAAATGTGAATTATCCCGTTCTAATCTAATTATTTGGTTTCCCTCGAAAATTCATTTTGAGCTATAATTCATGTTTTTGGGTATCTTTCATACAGTAACATTTCTTTTTCCTTTTTCTTTTCTTTTCTTTTTTTTTTT